CTAATTATTTCTTTCTCTACGAATGATAAATGGTAAACTGTTTGCTTATTTTAGGTTCTGTTCCTTCTATATCAATATAACACCAAAGAATATAGTAAGGTGGGTCTCCGCTCGTTGCACATCCGTTATCAAATGGCTGAAAATGTTACGACTCTCAGGTTTTTGGTCCCAATAACAATTTCATTCGGAACATTGTTCGCGGCTGCATTTGCTATTATCTTATATATGACCAGCTTAGTTGTTCGTCATGACTCATTAACAGTACTTGTACAGCAGTTATTCGTCTATGAACAGGTAAAATTTTACAATCTAATTACAACATCAAATTCTTATTTAAGCTACAAAATTATCAGTTCCTCATTCAAATAAATTTACTATATTGACTGTATAATATTCCTTAACTGCTTAGTAACTGGAAATTGTCAGCAGTAACAACCATTTATCTGTTACTTCCTAATTTCAGTTGTATAATCTACTAGGCGCTATTTTCACAACATTATTCGTTTCATTCTGCATTTCACTACATACACCGCTGCGGAAAACTTTAAAAAGTAAATACTTCTTGAAATTATTGATTAATTCTTACCAGTATAATCAATTTATAATGCTCAGTATTTACCGGATAACTTCTGCCTATTTTACAGAAGATTTTGGTATGATAAGTGAGGACAGAAGCAACAATATGGTCAATATTTACCCAACAGTTAACTGTAAACTTTCTCATCGAAATGAAGGTGATATTTATTTCGCCACTCTACAAGCCGACTGGGGAAATAAAAGCTCCAGTAAGATGGCTAATGGAGAGCCGAACATACCGCTTACTTTGGGAAGTCGAAAATGACTGCAACCGAACGAAGCATACTAGGCGAATAATACTCGAGTTCTACGCTTCCTTTACTTGGTCTCCAACAGCATAAAAGAACGTGCCAGTAATCCTTCCAGAAATTTTCCGAAAGCAGGAGACCGGCAACATAAATCTTGACTACTGGTTAAACTGGCTGACCCCATTTAAGTGGCTCAAGAAACATTTGGATAACATGACTGAAAGATTTGCGGTTAACCCGCGCAGTGCTGCTCTAACACAACGAAGGCACCAGACAAAGCCTACAGCTAACGCCCATTATCACAAGACCAAAGAATCGACAAAGTACCGCCCTAGATGAAACTAGTGTTATTAGATTGTGGATATTAAGTACGGTCCAACAAAAGTACTTGAAATGACTTGCAAAAAATTAACAGTTTTTGAATCAGCATTCCATGCAAAAATTTATTTATTATAAATAAAGTCGTCATAATGGCCCAATGTACAACATCTTCGAAAAACATGTAAATCATTTTAAATTCATAGATGCACAATGAAGGAACGATTCTATGAGATATAATCAATAACAAGCCTTCTCCGCTACGCATGAAGAACCAAAACTTGCACTTCAATTGAAGACTTGAAGTAACATTGTTATAAAAGCTGTCGAAAAACCGTAAAAAAGTGAAGTAGCCTGGAAAGGTAGTCAAAGCTGCGGAACTAGGCTTCCAAAAGGAACTGTATCAGTTTGAAAAAATTTTGACCTGGTAAGCCATGAAGAAGTAGGCTTCTTAAATCCATCGCATTTTCACAGTACCTCAATTAACAAGTCTTCCACTTTATCTTCACATTTTTTCTGCGAGAACCTTACTCTCGCTACCCACACACTTCTAGGAATACTGGAAAATGGCTTACTATGCTTTAAGGCTTTTTATATGTCTAGTAAAGCATACACAATAAGGAAGAAAAAATAAAATTAAATACAACAACTGAAAGCATAAGGCGAATTAAAATGCAGAAAGTTTAGTTAATCATATCAAAGCCATTTACAATTCTGACAATTTACAGTTTCTCCCTCACATAATGTAAGTCCCAATCTTCTCATAACTCAGACAGAAATAAGAATTATAAGAGTTACCTGTTTTATAAATACATCGTCAGTGAACCGTAAATAGTTCAAAAGCGAGGAAAACTAAGTCTCTAAAATAGAAACTTGTCAAGCAAACTCCGCCAAACAATGCATTACCGCTAATCAAATGAAATTAGTGGCCCTTCAGCAACACCATCCTGGGCAGACTGTAAAGGGGGCTGGACCTGCTGCGACGCAACGACCTGATTCTGAGCCCCAAGGAAAGCTGAAGTATATGGAATTTTCTTCGAATAATTTGAAAGATGATAACAACGTTCCAAACTCATTCTCCGACTTATGTATATAACTCGGAGAAGAAACTATAAATTGATCACGTTTACAAATTTTCACTAGAAAATAGTTTGGAGAAAAAACCTTGGTAATACTGCTCAGATGGAACAGCAGGTTGTTGGTAGCTCATCTGAGGCACTCCCTGCATAGACATTAGCTGGTAGCTACCAGCAGGCTAAAATATGACAAAATGTAGGAGGAACGAGTAAGAGAGTAAGAGAACTTCAAAAACCAAATTATACTTGGAATTATATAATACAAAAAGATTTATACGCCAGTTATTTTACATAAAAGTTGCTGTCAGTGAAGGATAAGCTAAACAGCTTGGTAAAAACGAATCACAAAACTGTTAATATAAAAAACTTACAAACTGCTGAGTAGAGTACTGAAGCTGGGGATTGCTGTAGGCATTCTGCATTCCTTGAAACTGTGAAGCATTTAGCTGCTGGGCATAAATTTGTTCCGGTAATACTTGACCAGCTGGGAACATTTGTTGTGGCGTAGAAGAAGGGAATTGAGACACAGATATGGACTGGGAGGCCTGCTGCTGGATGGACTGAGATACAGGTGGAACAGATGTAACAATTTGTGCAGGCTGCTGTGACGCTACAGTGGCTTGTGTAATCTGCTTCATAACCTCAGCACTTAAAGGATTCTGCTGCGTCACAGGTCCAGTCTGAGCTATATTCTGCACAATACCACCAGGTACAGGCACCTGCTGCTGTACAGCCACAGGTTGACTAATTTGTTGCTGAACTGAAACTGGCACTGGAACTTTCTGCGAACATGTCATGGCTTGTCCCGCCATAGAAACCGACAACTGCTGCTGGTTCTGGATAGCCTGCTCGCCAGTGGTAAGCACACTACCAGAAGATAATGGATATACCGTCTGCTGTTGCTGTACATTCCCACTAAAAGATGAAACTAATGAGGGATTCGAATAAGAATCGATCATGTTCACCGCGCTTGGAATGGCCTGCAACAACAAAGACTAGCAGTCACTGAAAAGACTGAAACAAAAAAAAACGCTAAAGGACAATGTTGTTACTTGCTGAGAGGAGACTTTCTGCAAAACACCAGAAGTATTAGAAGCAACGTCAACATTTTGTTGCACAGCAGTTTCTGTTGTCTGACTAGGTTGAGAAACCTGAACATAAGTAACGCCTAACTGACTACCAGGTGGGGGGTTCACATTAGCAGCACCTGAGTACCCTAAAATATAATTAGATATAATAAGCATGAAGCTACTTAAAACGGCAGAAGAGTCCATTCGACTGACCATATGGAGGAAAGGGACTAGATGGGCGAACAAAGGTAGACTCTGCCTGTATACCCTGAACTGGATTCCCCATCATAGTACTTTGCATCATCGCATAGCTTGGAGAAGGATAATAACTGGAACAGCCGACAGTTCCACTTGGGGTCAGCATCCTCCTTATCTGTTCCCGTTGTTGAGCTTGAAGCATAAGCTAAAAGAGACGTTTTAAAGCAAGAAGCTCACTATGGAAACCTAGGCACAACACCGAATATTAAATTATTAAAAAAGTCCCCCAAGAGAAAGAGTACAATTAAAAATACAGAGGGAAGTTAGTCTTACGTGCTTTTGTTGTCTCAGCAACGCGGCAGTTTGCATCATCTCACGTTGCTTCTCCTCTTTTTCCCTCCTTTTTCTTTCTTCTTCTTCACGTAAAAATTGTTCCCTTAATTGGTCAACGGCAGCGCGCGTGTACTTTATGTTGTTTATTTTATCCATTAGTAGTTCATAATGTGCTAAACAACAAAAAATGTGAAAAAATAAACAACCAGCTCTATTTTTCAGAAGGAAACTTATGTAAATAATTGGACAGAAGTTTATCTCAAAACCAAATAGACGTAAACAGCAGAGAGTGATAAATCAGTATGCAAAGCTGAACAAACTTTTTTTTTCGTCAAGCTTATTCTTCCGGATCTTGACTTGCTCTAACATACCAGTCATCCGAGACCATAATGACTGTATGGCAGTATCATTGAAAAGTGAACGATTCCGCATCCTATTTGAATTAATGCGATTCACCATTTTTGTTACCTGAAAGGAAAAAAATCACTATACAAAGAATAAATTCCCAAAATCCAAAAAATAAAAATAAAAAATAAAAAAAAATAAAGAAAACGCTCTAACACGGCTGTCTGAAGTTTGCCACCATTTGAATACCCAATTTTCAAAAAATTTTATAACTGTACCACTATAAAGCATCGAGCAGCCAAGATTTTATTTCTATCAATAAATTTATTTTACGTTTAAGCAAATTCACATGCTTCTTTGTTTGGAAAATAAGAAATTCCTGAATAACATTAAAAAATGAAGAATATGAAATATATTCAAGGCTGTCCAAAAATCTTCACTGACGCTATCTGTACCTTTCTTATAAATTAACAGGTACAAGGAGAAACAAGATCTTACTTCATCATAGACTTGTTTACAGAACTCCATTGTTTCGGCAGTCTGTTCTTCCTCATCAGTTGCAAGCTGTGCCGTGGTCATATCACCATCTACTCCCTTTTGAGTGCTCACCAGTGAGGGTGCAAGGGACTGCGCGTAATTCCCCTTCTCACTCCTCGATGCACCTAGAGAATAAGAGCATTCGCTCGGTGGTGGGGCTGTAGGTACTGGCGCTTTTCGAACTTCAGTAGTCGACGTCTAAAAAGATTTTTCAGTGCTTCTAAACCTATTCTGGTGCAATACAAGCATTTGAATTAAACGCAAAACATAAAATTGAACGATAAACACTACCGCCTCATTTTGCTCTTGGCTTCTTTTCTGCCAATAGTCTTTGTTTAGATATCGAGCTAATTCGGGATCCAATGGCGCTTCTGAATCCAAGACAGACGATTTCGTCTCCTCTAAAACATAAATAGTCAAGCAACTATCAAAAAGAAATCAGGCACCTACTGTTTTCCAAAACATAACTTTAACGATAAGGACCAAACCACACTTGAAACTTAATATAAAAAACAGTAAAAAAACAGAACTGCTATTAAAACCATGATTATATGTAACATCTTAGAAAAATGAAGCAAAATCCAATAATAAACAGTGACCTTCTTCGGCAGACAAGTTTTTATAACCAGAACTCTGTTCGCTCCGAGAACTCTCAAGTGTACCATTGAGCAGAACCTTCTCGCTTTTTCCAGAATAGTTCGGCCCATTGAACATCTGATAAAGTTGTTTCTGTCGTTCCTGCTCCTAAAATTGTTCCTCTGACAAATCATTTCTCCGTGTTGAAAAGAGAAGAGATACGAGAACTAGAAAATAAAAAAATATTAAAGAACGGTTCTTGACCTTCGCTTCCGCTTCCGACTGACTAATAGCTAACGCCAAATTGAATTCGTATTCTTCATCATCCTTCAGTTCTTTAGCTTTCTGCTTTGCTAACTTTGCCGACTCGTCACCACTGCTAATAGATGTTCCAGCAAGCTTAGCAGACAAACTTTCAGCGGAAGCCTTCTTTTTAGATGAAGAAAGTTTTTCAAAACACCCATCACAAACCCGGACCTATTAAAAGTAATATTTAAGAATGGACGCTCAAAAAAAGAAGAAAAGGTTGCCGCGAGGATCAGTTAAACCATTCTGCATTTTACAAGTGCTAAAGTCAATTAATAAATACACTTTAATTTATCACCTCTTTTTCGATCCCATACTGAGGTAAATAACTCTGATTGCTGCTGCACTTGACACAGAAGGATTGTCCACAAGCTCTACAGTGATGCCTCCTATTCCAAATGTTGAAACTTGTCCGACATCTAAACAAGTATAACAACTGCGGCTGAAGCAAATTTAAGAAAAAACAGACTAAAACATAAAGATTGAAAAAAGAAAAAGTAAAAAAAAAAATACCGATAACAAACATCTCCCTCCGCCCATTCTGGAGCACTTTCTGCAGCGAACATAGCTTTTGACTCACTAATTTTAGGAAATTCAATGCCTTCGTGCTTCATAAGCTCTTGCGTATCAGCAATAATTTTAAACTCAGGCTTATCTTTGAAGGCGATAGACCAACACTGCAGCAACTCCAAAATCTTGTTTTTTACCTGGAAAGTTTCTGAATCATAGCAAAAATCAGAGAAAAAAAATTAAAGTTTACATGAAAAAATAAAACTGCAAAAACCCTAAAAAATATGACAGCATTCGGAAATAATATCATTCTTCAAAAAAGAGAAGAAAATACTTAACTGCAAGAACTTACAAAGGTAGATGTTTTAAAACAATCTTAAAACAAAATGATGACGAGACATAAAAACACCATTAAAAAACTACCACAACAGCCAACAAATTGAAAGAGCCGAAATTAAAAGATAACTTTAAGTCCCGCAACCCTGCTCAGGAGTAACTCAGTATTAAGCGTGTTCTGGCAAAAACGTGCCAGTTAATTACAGAAAAGAAGTTACAAAAAACTGCTGAATTCAGAAATGTTAGTTAGCCAATAACTTTTGCCTCATGCATTAACTTTCCATATATTACGAATTAAGAGTATGGAAACCACTCGTTTTTCATCCATAATCAAAGTCCCCCAAATATTTCAAATTATACAGCATAGTGGGAATCAGAAATGTAACAGGAAGCAATCCGCCGAATATTTTGACTTCAGAAACTCTTCTTCAGTAGCATAAACCCCGAATTTCTTCATCTGATAAAGCCATAATTTGCTTCTGGAAACCTCAAATTTTATGGAACCATTTTAATGCACCTAAGTGAGACAAAATTGGTGTCAAAGAGAAGCCAGCTAGGCAGTGTGACTTAAAAACCAAGGCATAAGTGCAGACTAAAACTCGTTTTTGGAGGAATTCGTGGAAACTGAGAAATTTATTATATTCAAAACAACAAACTAAAGTGGGTGTTTGATTATTGCAACTGAGATTCTTTGTTTGCTAAAGGCACTGATATATGAGCTAAAAATCAGTTAAAGAACTGCATCTAGAAAATAGTCTAAAGCGGGAACAGTGCCAAGCTACCAACAGCAGCCGGGAAGAAAATTATTTAGTATTGAATACCCCCGTCAACTAAAAAAGATGACTTTCTTAACAAATAACTCCCACCAAACCTTCACTTGAATGAGAAGTCAAATAATCAAACAACTATCAATCCTACTCTTAAATAGAAAAGTAGATATTCATAACATTTAAATGTCGTAGTTTTTCAAAGATATTTTGATACGACCCCCTCAAATAAGTGAATTTTCACAATCAATTTTTAATCTTGTTTAGAAGACATCTTACAACTTAGTTTATATTTAATAGTTTTAAAAATGAAACCAAAAATTGCAAAAATAAAAAAGACAAAAAACCTTTTCTGAAGAGCTATCCAGCGCAAGAGCTCTTAAGTCACGTGTAAAATCAATCGTGGCCACCTCTTTATGAAACTGAAAAGAGCAGAAATCATACGACTTTAAAAAACATAATGTGTACGCTATCCAATTTTATTCACTGAGAAATAATCTGAAAAGTTACATCATCTTACCTTAGAGCCACAATTTTTCATACATGCTTCCAAAACAAGCAGGGCATGATGAGCGACATGAGGATTTTCACTGTGAAAGCGTTTCTGTACAGCACTAAGAGCAGACTTTGCTCTGAAAACTCGAAAAGTAAGAGCACGAGTAAAGAATGCTTTAGTGTTTCAAAACACTTGTATGGCACACAACTGACAGCTAAGATGGCAACTGTAGAATCAAGTAAGCAACGTGGAGTCGGAATGAGGATCAGTAACTTTTTTCGGAAATTTTTCACCCCTATCA